ATTCAATGTGTTTTCCTGTTCGGAGTGACCGCCGAACGAACGGCCGCCGCGTTTGCGACCGACGGCGTCGATCTCGTCGATGAACAGAATACACGGCGCGTTCTTTCGGGCCATTGAGAACATGTCGCGCACTCGTGAGGGCCCGACGCCCACAAACATCTTCAAAAACTCGGAACCGCTGACTGTGATGAAGGGTACGGCCGCCTCACCCGCAGTGGCTTTGGCCAGAAGTGTTTTGCCTGTGCCGGGAGGGCCCGTCAGTAGCGCCCCCTTCGGTATCTTAGCGCCCAAATCGAGGTACTGTTGCGGGTTCTTCAGGAAGTTCACAAATTCCATGATCTCCACCTTCGCCTCCTCACAGCCGGCAACGTCACTGTGTATTAGTGGTCACAAAACAACTCACGTTATAATCAACACACGTTATAGTGTACACAACATGCTACTGTATAGTGTAGTACACCCTATAGACTCTATAGTATAGAGTGACCATAACTTCATGTTCACCACATTATCAACCCGTTTACACACGCGTATAGATAGAGTGATCACATGTCTGTAGTGGTCGTTTAAACTGTACCTAAATTTGACGCCAATCTCTGATGGGTTGATGAGTTTGGCGGTGGACTCTCCCATACCGAAGATGCCTCCCATTCCGCCCTTACGTCCGGCCCAACACATACCGCACATCGCTAACAACGCCAGGAAACCAATGATTAGTAGAGTCGGTATAAAACTGACCACATTTGACCTAAAGGTGTGATACAAAACCGGTTAAACACACATAACTAGACACTCATTAGACCCGCGCCCTCACGAACCAATGCCAGGGCACGGGTCAGGCCATAGCCTACCCGTCCATTTCGGTCTTGTAGACAACGGCCACAAAGTCCTTGGGCTCGACATTAATCCCCAGCTGTATGTTCTCGAGGTTGCGCTCAAACGTGTCCACCGAACCGATGTTGAACCACAAGATGTTACCGACGTCTCCGCCCCGACCGCCAGTGCCCGACACGAACCGAATGCGGACCCACTTCTTGTTGACCACTTCCAGTTTGTCCACAACTCCGCGACTCAGGTAGTCGTTGATGAACTCTTTCCATGTGATCTCTTCGTAGCGCATCTCGTTGTACGCATAGCCGGTGACGTCGCTGTTGTGGTGATAATTAGTGAAAGTGTGATAATTAGTGAAATACGGTTTACTAGATAATAGACCTAAGGTTGTTATCCTAAGGTTAATAGACCTAATTGTATGGTTTTATTATTTTCTTAAATATAGTGTGTTAAATATACCTATTTAGTATAGTAGTAAGACTATTTTAAATATTTAGTAAATTATACTAAATTTTAAGGTAATATAGAAATATTTATGATTAAATGAAAACATAATAAATAAATATAAAATGCAAATAAACAAAATATAAATAGTTAAGTTTCGAGTTTGTTAATCTTGATTATTTCTAAAATTAACAAAAGTGTGTGTGTGTGTGTGTGTGTGTGTGTGTGTGTG